TATTTGATCCCCTATCATTCAGCAGGATTTCTGGCTACCAGGTGTCTTTCATACAGGTAACAAGCTGAGATTAGAAGCAGTCTCTTAAAGGGAGTGCTGCTAATCCATTTCTTCCATTACTGCTATAATGATATTTTTTTCTTCATTGAATTTAACAATTTTTTTGTGAATTTCATGCACTGCTTTTAAATTGGAATATTTTTTTTTCTAGTAGCACTGCTAAATATCAAGAATCTTATGTACAATGTTTTAATACCTTGGTGGAAATTGTGAAATGTTGGCATTAATATTGAAAATATGAGTGATCGTGCAAAAAAACTGTCTTTTATTTAAGGAAAGTGATCATATGACACCATTTATTAGCACATACAGTTGTTTGGCTATTTTTGAAATCACAATGATAACAGAAATCACGCAAATGGCCCTCATCTTAAGTTTACATACCCTGGAATTTTATGGCCTTGGTACAGACACACAAGGTGACACACACAGGTTGAAATGTCAATTAAAGGTTAATTTCCCACATCACATAAATTGCAATTAGTGTCTGTGTATAAATAGTCAATGAGTTTGTTAGCTCTCACATGGATGCATTGAGCAGGATATTGAGCCATGGGGAGTAGAAAGGAACAGTCAAAAGACCTGTACAACAAAGTAATGGAACATTTTAAAAGATGGAAAAGGATATAAAAAGATATCCAAAGCCTTGAATATTTCCAGTCAGTACTGTTCAACCACTAATTAAGAAGTGGAAAATTCAGGGATCTCTTAATACCAAGCCAAGGTCAGATAGACCAAGAAAGATTGTAGCCACAACTACCAAACGAATTGTCCGGGAAATAAATAAAAACCCACAGGTAACCTCAGAACAAATACAGGCTGCTCTTGAAAAAGACGTTGTGGTTATTTCAAAGAGCACAATCCAATACTTAAACAAAAATGAGCTGCATGGTTGAGTTGCCAGAAAGTAGCCTTTACTGTGCCAATGCCACAAAAAAGCCCTTTTACAATATGCCCAACTGCACCTTGACACACCTCACAGCTTCTGGAACACTGTAATCTGGAGTGACAAGACCAAAATAGAGCTTTATAGTCACAACCATAAGTGCTATGTTTGGAGAGGGGTCAACAAGGCCTATAGAGGCAAGAATACCATCCCCACTGTGAAACATGGTGGTAGCTCACTGATGTTTTGGGGGTGTTTGAGCTCTAAAAGCACAGGGAATCTTGTGAAAATTGATGGCAAGATGAATGCAGCGTGTTATAAAAAAGTACTGGCATACAATTTACATAATTCTGCATGAAAGCTGCATGTAGGGCGCACTTGGACTTTCCAGCACAACAATGACCCTAAGCACAATGCCAAGTTGATCCTCCAGTGGTTAGGGCAGAAAAATATGAGGGTTCTGCAGGGGCCATCACAGTCTCCTGACCTTATAATCATTAGGCCACTCTGGGAAGATCTCAAACATTCGGTTCATGCAAGAGGACCAAAGACTTTGCATGACCTGGAGGTATTTTGACAATACAAATGGGCAGCTATACCACCTGCACAAATTTGGGAACTCATAGATGACTATTTCAAAAGACTGCACTCTGTCATTGATGCTAAAGGGGGCAATACACAGTATCAAGAACTAAGGGTATGCAGACTTTTGAACAGGGGTCATGTAATTTGTTTACTTGTTGCCATGTTTTGTTTTATGATTGTGCCATTCTGTTATGACCTACAGTTGAATATGAATCCCATAAGAAATAAAGGAAATGTGTTTTGTCTTCTCACTAATGTTTTCTTTAAAATGGTACATACTGTATATTACTAAATCTCCAAGGGTATGCAAACATTTGAGCACAACTGTATCTGTGCAATCTTACTAAGATTTTCCCATTTCCACTAATCAAAAAAGAAGAAGGAAGATGATGGCAATGGTAGGAGGAGTACTGTCATCAATATAAGAGGTAATAAATGTCTGCATGTATTGATTGCAAATCACGCATGCACATAATCTGAAAATAAATGAGGCTACTTCCTCTTCAGGTAACATTTAGTGGATAATTTTAACCTTTAGGAAAAATGGTAATATTCCATAAAAATTAGCTAGTAGGTATCTGGATGAATTCTATTTAAGCACTATAGACACAACAATTGTCAGCTTACCTGCTTTTGAAGTCACTTGAACCTGCTGCCAGTAGGACATTGTTTGGATGCCAATCCAAGCTAAGGACAGTAGATCTTATGGGTTTCTTGATGTGTTTGCACACCCACCTGTAACAATTAAGTTACAGCACAGAAACATTATTGTCATGGTCTATTATGAACTAAAGCATTTTTCTTCAGTGAGCAGTGGAAAAAATATCTATTGTATGATAGTGGGAAATAGTTCTGGACTATTTAGAAATGTAAGCATGCCATAGACATCAGAGAATGGTTGGGGTCTCCCCAAAACAGAAATCCACTACTTGCAGTAGATTTTCTATTTAGACAGTTTAGTAGGAGGTGAATAGAGTGGCTTCTCAGGCACACCCAGCACTATCCAGTTCTAGGGAAATTATACTGATTATACAAAGCTTTCTAACCTGTCCACTGGTTGTCTGGGACCACCTTATGTATATGGTTATAGCCAGGAAAGTATAGTTTGTACCTAGGAACAGGCCCATAAACTTCTGGAAATGAACACTCCCCTTATCAGTATAGGTAGGTTGTTAGTAAAGATGAACTAATACTTTAACCACTTGCCCTCCTGAGGAGTTACCCCCCTTACTGACCAGGCCTTTTTTTGCTTTTCAGCACTGTACTAGTTCAACTGGTAATTGCGCGGTCGTGCGCAATTTCAGTGGTATTTGATCACCTGAGCACTTTTTATTTTTTGCACTATAAACAAAGACCGAAAATTAAAAAAAAAACATATTGTTTACTTTCGGCTATAAAAAATATATAGTAAACTCAAAGTTAGTCATAAATGTAGGCCAAAATGTATTCTGCTAAATGTCTTTGGTAAAAAAAAAATCCCAATAAGTGTATATTAATTGCTTTGTGTGAAAGTTATAGCATCTACAAACTATGGTATAGATACTGCAATTCACGCCATTTTTTGCTATACAGTGCTGCGCTAGTTTAATTTACAACTGCGTGGTCATGCAATGCTGTACATAAATGAAATTTATGTCCTTTTTTTCACACAAATAGAGCTTTTTCTTGGGGGTATTTTATCACCTGTGCAATTTTTATTTTTTGTGCTATATAAACAAAAAAAAGACCAAAAATTTTGAAAAAAAATGATATTTTTCTCATTTCTCTGCAAACTATGTTATAGATACTGCAATTTACGTAATGTTTTGCTATACAGAGCTGCACTAGTTTACCGTACAACTGCGTGGTCATGCAATACTGTACATAAATTAAATTTATGTCTTTTTTTTACACAAATAGAGCTTTCGTTTGGTGGTATTTGATCACTTGTGCGATTTTTATTTTTTGTGCTATAAACAAAAAAAAGACCAAAAATTTTGAAAAAAAATGATTTTTTCTAATTTCTCTCAAAAAATATCCAAAAAAACTCAAATTTCGTAATAAATTTAGGCCAAAATGTATTCTGCTACATGTTTTTGGTAAAAAAAAAAATCCCAAAGTGTATATTGCTTGCTTTGCGTGAAAGTCATAGCATCTTCAAACTATGGTATAGATAATGGAATTTATACAGCTTTTACTTTCTGACTGCCTATCATTTTCTTGAGGTCTACAATACCAGGACAGTACAAACACCCCCAAATTACCCCTTTTCGGAAAATAGACACCCTAAACTATGTGCTGAGAGGCATATTGAGTCCATGGAAGATTTATTTTTTTTCCACAAGTTTTTGGAAAATGACAAAAACATTTTTTTTTTTTACACAAAGTTGTCACTTAAATGATATATTGCTCACACAAGCCATGGATATATGTGGAATTACAACCCAAAATACATTCTACTACTTCTACTGAGTATGGGGATACCACATGTGTGAGACTTTTTGGGAACCTAGCCACATAAAGGAGCTTGAAATCCAATGACCACTTTGAAAGCCTGAAGGTGCGTAACTTCCTCATTTCACTTCCATACTACCTATCACAGTTGTGGAGGCCCTGAAATGCCAGGATAGCACCCCCCCCCCAAATGATCCCTTTTTGGAAAGTAGACACCCCCAGGAATTTAAAAAGATGTATAGTGAGTATTTTGCAGATCTAATTTTTTTCTCACAAGGTTTTGAAATATAAAAAAAGAACAAAAAAAATATGATCTGCAAAATACTCACCATGCTTCTTATCAAATTCCTTGGGGTGTCTACTTTCCAAAAAGGGGTCATTTGGGGGGAAGGGGGGGTGGCTGCTATCCTGGTATTTCGGGGCCTCTGAAACTGTGATAGGTAGTCAGGAAGTGTAATAATGAAATAAAGCCCTTTAAAAGCCTAAAGGTGCTTATTGGATTTTGGGGTCCTGTACTTAGCTAGACTGCCAAAAAGTCTCTCACATGTGGTATCCACACACTCGGGAGAAGTAGCAGAATGTATTTTGGGGAGTAATTCCACATATATCCATGGCATGCTTGAGCAATAAATCATTTAACCACCTCCCGCCCGCCATATAGTACAATGACAGGTGCAAGGTGGTTCTCTCGTTCTGGCAGGACGTCCTCTCATTCTAACCGCGCATGCGCGGCTCCGGGAGTGCGCAGCATGGCGATCGGCAGTGCGCTGTGTCCCTCGAACACAGCAGATCACCGATCAATGGAAAGAGCCGAAGATGTCGGCTCGTTCATGTGATCAGTTGTGTCCAATCACAGCTGATCGCATGTAAATAGGGAAATGCCGGCTATTGGCATTTCTGTCCTCACAAGCTGTCACGCTGACAGCTCGAGAGGAGAGGAGAGCCGGTAATCGGCATCCCTCAGAGGGGACATGTACACTGATCATCAGGGCACTGATGATCAGTGTACCCTGATGATCTGTATAGCCCCAGCAGTGCCACCTGTCAGTGTCCATCAGTGCCAGCTGTCAGTGCTCATCCATGCCACCTGCCAGTGCCCATCAGTGCCACATCAATGCCACACTTCAGTGCCTACCAGTGCACATAAGTGCCACATATCAGTGTTCATCTGAGCTGCCTTTCAGTGTCACCCATCAGTGCCAGTCAGTGCCACCTAGTAATGCCAGTCAGTGCCACCTTTCATTGCTGCCAATCATTGCCACCTATCAGTGTCAGTCATTGCCGCCTATCAGTGCCTGTCAGTGCTGCCTGTCAATGCCGCCTAACAGTGCCAGTCAGTGCCGCCTATCTGTGCCAGTCAGTGCCACCTATCAGTGCCGCATATCAGTGCCATAAATGAGTGCTGCTTGTCAATGCCCATCAGTGCCACCTACCAGTGCCTCCTCATCAGTGCCCATCAGTGCCACCTATCAGTGCCCATCACTGCAGCCTCATTAGCGCACATCAGTGAAGCAGAAAAATCACTTATTTACAAAATTTTATAACAAAAACGTTTTTTTTTTCCCCAAAATTTTCAGTGGTTTTTGGTTTGTTTAGGAAAAAATAAAAAACCCAGAGGTGATTAAATACCACCAAAATAAAGCTCTATCTGTCACATAAAAATGATAAAAATGTCATATGGGTACAGTGTTGTATGACTGCGCAATTGTCATTCAAAGTGCAACAGCGCTGAAAGTTGGAAATTGGCCTGGGCAGGAAGGGGGTATAAGTACCCTGTAGGCTAGTGGTTAAATGACAATTTTGTGTAAGAAAAAAATTTTTTTTTGGTCATTTTCCAAAAAATTGTGTTAAAAAAATAAATTCTTCTATTGACTCAACATGCCTCTCAGCAAATAGTTTGTTGTGTCTACTTTTACGTTTATGCCACACATCACTCACTCTTCTAACCATCTGAAGACCAAGCCTTTTCTGACAATTTTTTTGTTCACATTAAAAAAATCAGTATTTTTTGCTAGGAAATTACTTCGAACTCACAAACATTATATCTTTTTTAAAGCAGACACCTTAGTGAATAAAATGGTGGGTTCCTCAATTTAATTATGTCACATAGTACTGCATACATTTTTAATATCCATAGGCAACAATTTAAAAGCCTTTACAAGCTGCCATTTTAGATTTACAGAAGAGGTCTAGTGCTAGAATTACTGCCCTTGATCTGACGTTCGCGGCGATACCTCACATGCATGGTGCAACCGCTGTTTACATACTGGCACGAGGTCAAAGCTTGCGCACACAGGTGCATGCAGGAGGGCGAGGGTGCTTTATTATTTATATTATTTAGATTTTTCTAATTATTTTTACAGTGTCCCTTTCATTTTTTTTTAGTGATCACTTTAATGCAAATATCCCCTATAACTTCAATGGGCATTGTCATATATTCTTTTTTGAGAAATCTGGGGTCTATCAGACTCTAGATATCTCCTCTGCCCTTACATTATCTAATCTCACCAAGATTGGTATGATCAGATGCTTTCCCAATTTACAAATGGCGCTGTTTATATCCTGCAAAACTGAAGTGATGAAATGCTCGTAGTTTCCAATTTCATTCCGGTCTACAATCAGCTCTATGGTCAGCTGGCAGAAACACCAGCTGTATTCTCAGAAGGCCATGGAAGGGATCGGGGGAGGGGAGGTCATCTTCTCCCACTGCTTGTAAAATAAATCCTGCAGCTAATTAGCCACTAGGATTGCTTTTACATAAAAGCTGATTGCCAGCTGAAAAAAATGATACCAGGATGATGCCTGCAGCTGCAGGCATCATTCTGGTATAACCACTCAAAGTCCAGTGATGTACCAGTACGTCACTGGTCCTTGTTGGGTATATATGCTATGTTCTTTTTTTTTATGCAGCCTGTCGGCTGAATGAAAAAAAGAGAAGAAATCTCTGCCAGAAAAAGTGTGTGGTATGCCCACCATTAGAAGTGGGTGGATTCAGGGTGGTATATTCTAATGGTGGACATTAGAATACACCACCCTGAATCTACCCACTTCTAATGGTGGGCACACATGAAATGTGCCAAAAAATATTATAGAATATATGCCGAAGCATAGGGGCCATCCACCCACTGTCCACCCCAGGCCCCCATGCTTCGGCATATATGCTCTTTTTTAACTGTGGATGAAAAATCTCATCCAACAGTGCTGCCCACACTGACTTATGTATATTCTGCGAGCAAGTTCCTGTTGCTGTCAGAATAAACAGGTCAGTGCTGCAGAGAAAACAGCAGTCAGTGGTTTAACAATAAAACAGGAACAAAAAAACAGTAAAATCATAACAGTAGAACAGTAACAACAATGACAACAACAAAAAATAACTATTTTTGGTTTTTAAAATTTTTACTTTTTTTTGGACTTGTACTTTATATTTTTTATGGGTTTAATTTTTTACTTTTTTTTTTTTTTTAAAACTTTAACTTTTTAAAACAGATTGTAGGGTCTCTCAAAATGCGACAGCCAGTTTCCTGACTACCTAACATCTTTCGAGAGCCTGTGTAAATATGTGCCCTGAACTGTGTCGTGCTGTACCCTATACTAATACTCCACTAGTGTGTTGTAGCGACGGAAGCAGTCCTTGAGGCAGAGACCAGGTTGGCCAGGACAGGAGGGACAAAAACAAGCGGGTGTAATGCCTAATTCCATGTCTGCTACAGACACAACATCTTTTTCTTGGTGTCCTTTGGGTTGGAGTACCAGGAATGTCATCGGGAAAATGCCTCTCATGCAGCCGGCTAACTGCATCTGTTGGGGGTTTGGGCCACAGCACCTTCTGCATACAAAAGGGCCGTGATGATCTCTTCCTGGAATTTTAGGAAAGATCCACTTCGTCCAGTTGCTTTGTAAAGCACAAAAGATATATAGAGCCAATTGAAATAAATAAACATACACTTTTTTGTACCAACCTCTGGCTTTTTGGGAAATGAAGTACAGCTTCATCATCTGGTCATTGAAGTCCACCCCTCCCATGTTAAGGTTATAGTCGTGGACACAGAGGGGCTTCTTAACAACACCAGCTGCCGTGTGCAATTTGGATGGTCGTGTCTGCGTGAATGGAAGACAGAACGAAAACATCCCGTTTGTTCTTCCACTTCACTGCGAGCAATTCCTCATTTCTCAAGCAGGCTTTTTCCCCCTTTCCAATTGAAATAAACATACACTTTTTTGTACCAACGTCTGGCTTTTTGGGAAACAAAGTACAGCTTCATCATCTGGTCATTGAAGTCCACCTCTCCCATGTTAAGGTTATAGTCATGGACACAGAGGGGCTTCTCAACAACACCAACTGCTGTGGCAATTTGGATGGTTGTGTCTGTGTGAATGGAAGACAGGACGAAAACATCCCATTTGTCCTTCCACTTCACTGCAAGTAATTCCTCATTTCTCAAGCAGGCTTTTTCCCCCTATTCTAAAATGGGTATTTACAAGCCGTTGGGGGAAGCCCCGGTGATTAGGTCGCACGGTGCCACATGCGCCAATTCCAAGATTGTATAAATGTCTAAATAGTGGCATGCTTGAATAAAAATTATCCACGTATAAGTAGTACCCCTTATGGAACAAACACGACACCAAATCCCAAACTATCTTACCACTGCTCCCCATGTAGTCTGGACATCCGGGGGGCTCCATGTCACTATCTTTTCCCTCGTAAATCGTAAACTTATATGTATAGCTTGTTGCCCTCTCACAGGTCTTATACATCTTGACCCCATATCTGGCATGCTTGCTGGGGAGAAATTGTTTGAATGAAAGACGACCAGAAAAATTATTGAGCATAGGGGCTAAACTCAGGTGTTGGCAGGTTCCGGGGCTGATCCTGTTAACGCTGCATTTTTGGGGACACTATACTAATGCTAACGTTGGTATAGTGCTGATCTGATCAAAGATATTGATCCGTTCAGACACTATACTAGCAATGGAGGTTTATTGTGTATGTGAGCGTATTCCTGGCAATCAAGGGGTTAAATGTGATTACTGGTGTACTGACAGGCAATCTGACGCTATCTGGGAGGAGCGCTAACTGACGTTAACGCTATCTGAAGTCACCGGCAACACAGGGTGATTGTAGTAATCCTATGCACACAAGCTGCCTACCTATTCAGATGCCACACAGGGACACCATTAGCATAATACTGAAAAAAAAATCAGCATCATCATCTCAAGGTAACAAAGACACAAATCTACACCTTTAAGCAGTAATAGGTTATAGTTGGTATAGGATGAAACTCGAAATGAGGTTGCATCATCAGTTTCATTAGGTTGCACACAACTAACTAAGATATTTCATTAGGCATAGTATGAGGCTGCACTGGATGTAGGTTAAAGAATGTTCATAACACAGACATCAAAATATTGGCATGGGCAGGAAAGACGCCTTATATTAGGCAGCAGGTCTCATTTATTGGGTGAACTGACCACTTAGCTACTGGGATCTGTTCAGCATTATTGAGAAGAGAACTAGCAGTATCAGACATAAGCTGTTGTATTAAATGTACATTGTGTGCTTTGTTCCCTAAAGGCTTCTATAAAGCTAGAACTGAGAAAAAAAAATCCACTCCAACAAGCGTTCAGTACTATACATTTCCCTTGGTGTTACAGCTAAGCTACGTGGTAGAGCTGTTGATGTCTTCTGGTCAAACATATCTAATGCTGGACAGTGCTGGTCGATTGATATTGAAGTTTTAGACATGCATTGTACTACAACCATTGGATAATCAGCAATAAAGTGTGCTTTAACAACATACAGTTAAAAAAATTAGAACTAATATGTGTGACTATTAGGTATTATTTGAAGCCCCAAAACAACTGGCTATCCACTAGTATACTGTATATCAGAAGAAAAAAGCCTGTAATCACCAATCATTCTCCTGCTCAAAATAACAGATGGAGATAAGCCTTGAACCACTGCCCACAGCAAACTTGTTTTCCTTAGGTGACCACTTCACACATCGTGCTGCACGGTTAATCCTCAGTATGACTAGAGTTGGTTTCCACACATTGTTTCGCAGAGTCCAAACATAGGCATTTCGATCAGTGCCACATGTCACAATTCGATTGCTTTCAGGTGCCCAATCAATGCCTAATGTCAAATAAAAAAATATATTAGAAAATTTGCATACCTCTGTTGGCATAGGGGAAATAGTTTTCTGTTAATTCATAGACCTGTCCTAGGTAAAAGTTTAACTTATTTAAACTATAAAACCTATTAAAAGGTAACCATCAATTGTTTTCTACAGATAAATATACATGTGTTCATCTTAGTTTTATAAATCTTAGTCATGGTCTTTAATGCTTAGAAAAACTGTCTAAAGTACCGGCTGTTTGTGGAACCTGAGCCAGCTTGCAACATGTAGATGATGGAACAGGGGAAACAATCAGGCAGGTTAGAAAGCATCTCCCAATCACTATTGCGTCCTCCTGAAAAACTGTAGCAGCTTCCTCCCCCATTTCATCCCACTCCCTTCTTCACTGTATGTTCAGACAGCAGCAT